TTTTTGTGGGTTGAGACCAATTGTTTGTTTGTATTATTGTACTTACTGTATTATTTTAATAAATTGTTATTCTGACTTATAATCTCTCCTTTGAGTTGGGTTCATTCCCCCTGCTGGTTAACTTTTAAACCAGCACAATGTATTATATATAATATACATTATATGATATAATATAGTGTATATATACACTAATATACATACGTGTGTGTGTGTATATATACATGTATACATATACATGCACATATATATAAATACACTGTATATTTTCATACTTCCAAAACCATTTAGGTTGTAATCAGAAAGCACAAGCCAGTCAGAAAATTTTAATCATTACAATATACATATAATATACAATATATGTATAAACACATCCTGTTTGACAGTGCAAGAGCTCTCATGACAAGCTCTTACATCTCTGGGGTTTTGGCATCTCCAATAATTCACTGGAATTAATGTTTTTTTGGTGGTGGTGCCACTCCTGCCACTTCTGCTCCTCTCTCCCCACTGAAGGCATCACTTGGCTCACTCCAGCTGTGTAACCATCCATGAGAAATCAAGCCCTCTGCTTTCTGTAACAAGAATTAAACATAAAGGTTGTTTGATTAAAGGCTTTTTTTCACACTAAAGCAACTTGCCCTCTCCCCACTTTCAAGCATCTCGTCGACAGTTACATTTTATCCCCTATCAAACATTTTTTTCCTTAATAAAGTCATCGTTTTTCCACAGCTCCTTTACCTTAACTCAGATGATAAATCCTGGTCATCCCCTGACATCCCCCTATTTTTAGTGCTACAAAAAGAATGAACGTAATTTAAGTAGATGACAAAATATCCAGAGACAATGGAAATGGCAAACAGAGCCATTTTCACCTTTTTCAAGGAAATCAACATACTAGTTATTATATTAATATGATAGTTATAATATAGTTCAATTGCTGGGAAGTGTGGCCCATCACCAGGCAAGTATTATTACAGTCTTGAGACTAGGAAAAAAGAGAGAGCAGAGTGCTAAATTCCAACCAAATTAAAAAAAAACATACACATAAAACCCCAAAAACACTAAAGCTTCCCTTCAACATACATTTATTCAAGTCATTCAAGTTAAATTTAAGAATAAGTTGTTCACCCTGAACAATAAAACTACATTGAAAGTGCTGCTAAAATACACTGGGAGTGCCACACAGCACATAACCTCCCCCAAATATTAAGTTTATTCCACACAGCTTTTCTGACACAGAAATAAATAGGAAATTAGGTCACCTCTCCCTAAAAATTTCAGTCTTTGTTTGCTTTATTGTTATCCCCCCTCCAGTTCTTCTCCACAGAGCTGTGATGACATTCCCAGACTGCCACTGTCCTCCTTCAGCTGCCTGGAGGAAGCAAAATTTGAGAATAAAAACATAAATAAACACGAGACATGAAGCTTTTATATCTATTTCCCATTTTTTTCCCCTCAAAAAACTGGAAAGATCGAAAATCTCAAACTGGGATTAAAGGAAAAAAAAAAAAGAAAAAGAAAAGCAGGATCACCACATGTTGTGAGGAATAAATCAGATTTGTGGCTCTCATCCGAGTATTTGGACACTCCCCGAGGACCTCAAAGGTTTCAGCAATGCGTTAAGAGCAGGAAAACACACCCAAAATATTAATATTAAGCAAATATTATTATTGAGCACGTGTTAATATTTGTGAGGGCGTTTTAGAGTTGCTGACTTCAAGTAATGCAGCGTGAAGGTGATCACACAGAACCTCCTGGCTACAGCAGTGTGAAACCTTATGAGTAATTATATCTTCAATATTGGATTGCAGTCATTTTAATAACTCAGTAGAACATACATTCTGTGTTATATATGTCATATAGGTTTTACATATATTTTATATATTTTCTATACTACATATATATGTTATGTACATTACATATGTATATGTTGTGTATATTACATATATAAAATACATAACACATAATAATATATCTAAAAATAATAATATACAAAA